ATGTTCTTCTTCTTCAGCCACTCTTTTTTTGCTTTGGTGGTGTGCTTAGGGTCGCTGAAACACCCATCCTCGACCCATCTTCAGCTCTCTCACTGAGGGAAGGAGATGTTGATCCAGAATTCCATGATACATGGCCCCATCCATCCTCCCCTCAATACGATGGAGTTGTCCCACCCCCTTGGCTGAAAAGCACCCCCAAAGCATGATGTTGCCACCACCATACTTGACGCTGGGGATGGTGTTCTTTGGGTTGTACTCGATGTTCTTTGCCTTCCAAACACGATGAGTTGAGTTGAGGCCAAAAAGTTCTATTTTGGTCTCATCTGACCACATCGTCCAGGTGGTGAATGGCGAACTTCATGCGGGCCTGTACATATTTCTTCTTGAGCAGGGGGACCTTGCGTGCGCTGCAGGATTTCAATCCATGACGGCGTAGTGTGTTACCAACCGTTTCTTTTGTAACTGTGGTCCCAGCTGCCTTCAGTTGATTCATCAGTTCCCCCCTTGTGGTTTTGGGATGATTCCTCACCGTTCGCATGATCAGGGACACTCCACGAGGCCAGATCTTGTGTGGAGGCCCAGATCCAGGGAGGTTGGCGGTGGTGTGGTGCTTCTTTCATTTCCTGATAACTGCACCGACAGTTGATCTTTTCTCTCCAAGTTGCTTTCCGATTCTCTTGTAGCCCATCCCTGCCTTGTGCAGATCAACAATCTTGTCCCTGATGTCCGTAGAAAGCTCTTTGGTCTTGCCCATGGCAGTAATGTTGGATGCTGGTTGTTTGGGTGTTGACAGGTGTCTTTTATACAGGTAACGAGGTGAGGCAGGTGTATTTGATGTAGATAATTGGTTGGGATTGGGGCTGTGTCTTAAAGAAAGACCAACTTGTTGTAGCCAGAATACTTGCTGTTTGGTAGGGGGTCAAATACTTGTTTTTCCTCATCAGATGGTGTATATATATATATATATATATATATATATATATATATATATATATATATATATATATATATATATATATATA